TTATTCTCATAACATTGCGACTTTATTCTCATAACATTGCGACTTTATTCTCATAACATTGCGACTTTATTCTCATAACATTGCAACTTTATTCTCGTAAGATTGTAAATTTATTCTCATAACATTGCAAATTTATTCTCATAACATTGCGACTATTCTCATCACGACTTTATTCTCATAAAATTGCGACTTTATTCTTGTAACATTATGACTTTATTCTCATAACATTATGACTTTATTCTCATAACATTATGACTTTATTCTCATAACATTATGACTTTATTCTCATAACATTACGACACTATTAGTAAAAGTAGAAAGCTTAAAGTAATGTTTGTCGAAGCAGCTGTAAAACCGTCTGAGTTTTAAACATTTTTAAGTTAATGTGGGCGGGCTGTGGCAGCCATCTTGAATTGCACAGCTGTAGATTTTCCAGCCCTTTATGGCAGCAGATAAAATGARTTTCCTTACCTTGCTCTCCGGCCGTTCCTTGAGGCTCCGTTGACCCTCAGACGCCGTGTTTTGGTCGATGAGGTCACGCTTTACATGTTCGCCCTCTCGGACTCCTGCGTCGCCGCCTTGTGGAGCCTCTGGATCGCTTTCCTCCTTTTTCCGTTTGCAAACAGAACTGTCCTCTGAGAATCCTCTGACCCGCGGGAGGAGAGAAGGAGATCTGTCGGAGGCGGAGCCTGGACTGTGGATGGACACGGAGGAAGAGGAGGAGCCACGAAGGCAGGGAAACAAACGGGTGACAAAGGTTTTAACGACAGAGGATAAGACGACGGTCGTGGTTCGTACCAGGAACTAAGTTTGTGCTTCCAGGTTCTCTTGGAGCTGCTGCGACTCGGAGCTGCTTCTGTCTTCTGAAGGAAAATCACGTCGTCATGAAGGTCCAGGCCACAAGTTTCTGCAACAGGCTCCGCCTCCTCGTGATGCTCACCTGAAGTGAAAAGGACATTGTTACCCAGCAACACCTTCACACCTGCAATAATAAACCTGCTGTAACTGATTTCTTATAAAACTAAATAAAAAGTCCTACTGTGGATCTGGGATGCATCCAGTACGCAGGTGTTTRGTACCAGCACCTCTGTTCTCCCAGGATTCTTCTCACTTCCAGCAGAATCTTTGTTTAGCTCTTAAAAAGGAAACAAAGCAGTTTAAATCACTCTGTATCTGTAGATATATGATGTGTTGTGTTTTAAAACCAGCCGACCGTGGAGGAGCGCGCCGCCGCACCGCTGCAGAGGCGTCTCTGCGTAACGAACGTGTTTCTTTTTGTCTCCGTGTTTCCGTTTCCTCAGTTTGCTCGCCGCGGGCAGCGAGCTCGGCATCGTGGGCGAATCTGGGATGACTCCTTCTTCCTGCTCCGGGGACGAGGTCCGGCTGGACTCTGATGATCTGAAACAGAAACCAGCAGCTGCAGAGTTCAGCTGGGAACTGAAAGCTTCACCAGAGCAACAAAAACAAAACCAAATAAAGTCTGGCTCAGGGTGAACTTTAGTCTCGTTCTTTATAAAAAAACTGTTTTTATTAAACCAGAAGTGAAACCTCAGAGTTCATCTGAACAACTTCCTGCTGACGACACCACAGAAAAGTTCTCTCTTTAATAAATAAATTAGTTTCTAAAATACAAATAAAAACCTAAAACTCACAGAGATGTTTTCAACGTTTGGAGTTCAGCTTCTAGTTTCCTGTTTTCATCCTGCAGGATGTTTCTCTCCTCCTCTGGAGCAGAAAACAAAGAAAACACTAAAAGTAGTGAATTATTAGAGGTTTAGATTTTTGGCCTCATGCAAGAACATGTTCGTATTCTTATCCTAAATTTCTCTTACTTTTGTTCGTACAAAGGGTTCGTACG